CCCCTCCTCCCTCTCCCTTCCCTCGCCTTCCTCCCTCCCTCTCCCCTTCCCCCCTCCCTCCCTCCCTTCCCCTCTCCCCTTCCCTCCTTCCCCTCTCCCTCCCCCTCCCTCTCCCTCTCCCTCTCCACCCCCCCTCCCTCCCTCTCCCTCCCTCTCTTTTCACTCCGCACTCCTTTTTTTTTTTTTTTAGAGAGAGAGGCTTCTAGGCCCATCTCGTCTCTTCATTACTGCAACAGTCATATGCGCGACCCCCATATATGGCAGCGCGTGTTTACCCCGAAACCGCAAACTCATTCGCGTAATTAGATTTCCCGCCGCGATGGGCGCTGGCCTGTCGCCCTCGCACCTGCGCCGCCCCGCCCGGCACTTGGCATTTCCAGCTGTGTCTTTGACTGCGTGAAAGACAATTGTCTGCGTGAATGTGGTGGGTTCTCACTGTCAAGGAGGGAGGGAGGGAGGAGGGAGGGAGGGGGGGAGGGCGACGACTCTGCCCAAGTTACAAGAGATTAATAATTCATGACCTCAGCTGTGCTCGGGCCGCGCTTGCTCCGTGGGCTTGACCTTGAGTGACCCAGGCGCTCTTTCTCGTTCGCTTTTCTCGACTTCTCGTTTCTCTTTTCTTTTTCTATCTCTCTCCTCTTTCTCTTCTCTTCTCACTTCTCTTTACTTCTCTCTTCCTCTCTTTGCCTTCTCTCTCCTCTCTCCTCTCTCCTCTCTCCTCTCTCCCTCTCTCCTCTCTCTCTTCTCTCTCTCTCTCTCTCTCTCTCTCTCTCTCTCTCTCTCTCTCTCTCTCTCTCTCCTCTCTCTCTCTCTCTCTCTCTCTCTCTCTCTCTCTCTCTCTCTCTCCTCTCATCCCTCATCCCCATGTCACATTGACATTCCAAAGAACCAACCCAGAGAGAACTCCCACAAAGTTTCCGAATCGGGACACACGGCACAACATTTCGCCGTTCGTGCCCATGACACGATCGACGTCTCCCGTAGGTCCTTTCGCCCCCGGGTCCGTCCTCTTCATGGACGCCCTAAACCCTTTTTAAATCCTCCCTTTTAGCGTGACTTTCTTCCCCCCCGTTTTAATCCCCCCCCCCCGCCCGAGATCCGCCATATTTTGACGTACTCGGGACTGATAAGGATCGCGTATCTTTACTTCCCTTTTTATTACGCCTCGCCCGGTTGATTATTCCGCTGGTCTTAACGCAAGTACTACTGCAGTGTTTACCGCAGAGCCGGAGGGAGGGGAGGGGGAGAGGAAGGGGTGAGGGGGGGCGGGGGCGGGGGGGTAGATGAAGGAAATGACAGTAGATGTTTTTTTTATACTCGACTTTTTTATTTTGTGTTTTTTTCTGATTTGAATCTGGGATAATGGTTGCGTTTGGTTTGCTTTTTGTTGTTTTACTTGTTTGTTTTTGTTTGTACTGGTATGTTTGTCGTGGAGGAAACAGCGTAGCCTTCCACGATTTCTGGATTTTTAGTCTTTTTATCAAAATGTTTTCCAGTTTCTTGATATTTTCCTTCGGCCATTTAGTTCCGTCTTCATCCCGAATGCAAGTCTTGACCACATCGAGCAATATTACCATAATAAGAAAAGAAAAAGAGAAGAAAATAAAAGCGAGAGCGGGTTCTGTGGGAGCGGAGGCCGTGGCGTCGAATTCGAGATGAGGGGGCGCCCTGCTCTGTGGGGAGGGCCGGTGGGCGGGTGGGCGGCGGAGTGGGCGTCAGAGGGATTTCCAGAATGCAGGTCCTTGTTGTATTTAGCGGTGTTGTATGTTTAGGTGTTGTTATGATGGTTTGAGGTCTTGCAATGCACCTAGTCGGAGGGTCTGTCTGTGCAATGCATGTTTTTTCCCAAGGCAACAGACATCTTGTGTGCGAGCAAAGCTGCTGACCTAGAACGTTGAGTCGGTGAACAAAAAGGTGATAGCAACGATGATGAACACAGTATTAATTTTAAAAAAGTTGTTTAACTGAGCAGCAATGAACAGCCGTATTGTTTAAACAAAAAAGTTAATCGAACCCCATCTGTTCAAACCCCCCAAAAAGAAATAGATAAATATAAACGTACTCAGAACCCATAACCCCCCCCCCCCCAAAAAAAAAAAAAAAAATAATAATAATAATAATATAATAATAGAAGATAAAAATAAAATAAAATAAATAAAATAAAAATCGGGGAAAAGATAAATGAAAAGAATAGAAACTAATCAACGCCTCATTGTGCCAGACGTTATCTAACTCCTTCTTTTCTCTCTCTCTCTCCGCCCCAACAGCCACCGAGATCAGGTGCGAAGAGAAGTCCCGCGGCGGCATGTGCTATGAGGTGATCCTGGCCGAGCCCTCCGCCGACAAGCCCACGCCCACCACCACCTCCCCCAGGCCCAAGAGCATGACCGCCGAGGAGATCACGCAGAAGCTCCTGCAGGCCGAGGAGCGCAGGAAGGTAGGCCTATGCGCGGGATGGGTTGGGGAGGGTTGGCTTCCTTTTCTTTCTTTTTCTTTTTCTTTCTTTCTTTCTTCTTTCTTTCTTTCTTTCACCCCTTGTTCGTTTCCTTCCACCTCTCAAATCGTAGTCTTGATCTTGATTTTCCTTCCCTCCCAATTTTCTTTCTTAGTTTGTCTTTTCTTTTCTTCGTCTTTCATTCTCCTCTCCTCCTGTTCTCACTCTCTTCTCTTTCCTCTCTACTCCTCTCTTATCCCTCTCCCTCCTCTCTCTCTTATCCCTCTTTTCTCTCTACTTCTCTCCTCTCCTCCTTTCCTCCTCTCGACTCTCCCTCCCCCCTTTTCTCTTCTCTCTCTTCTCTCTCTCCCTTTTCTCTCTCTACTCTCTCTCCTCTCCTCCTTTTCTCTCTTCTCTATTCTCCTTCTTTCCCTCCCCTTCTCCCTCCTTAATGTTTCCCTTTGTCTTTGGGCCAAGAATCGAGGCCGCGTTGGGTTTGTTTAAATGATCGAGGCCTTGTTTGTCGCAAACCAACAGAGGGATTTAGACTACGTTTACTTTTAGCATAATTGTGCAAACGTTTTCAGATCTTTTGGTAAAGGAAAAATATACAAAAAAAAAAAATCACCGTTATTAAAAGAGAGGGTTATGTTTCATCGTTCCGTCTTCGTCTTTTTTTTCTCTTCTCCCTCCGCCCCTCTCCCGTCCCGTCTTCGTCTTTTTTCTCTTCTCCCTCCGCCCCACCTCCCGTTTTCATCACTTTCCCTTCGTCCTTTAACTGGCAGTCGATGAAATTATTTCGGCATTCTTCTCTTCCTTTCTCCCCTTCCGTTTCGTTTTTTTTTTTTCTTCTTCTTCTTCTTCCTTTTGTATCTTCCCTTTTTTTTGCGTGGTCGTTAGAAGTCTCCTTCTTTCCTCCTTTCCTTCCTCTCTCATTACCTACCTACCTACCTTTCACCCCCTCTCCTTTGTTCCTGTCTCTCTTCCACCTTTCTCAAATTGTAATCTTTATCTTGATTTTCTTTCCCTTCCATTCTTAACCTCTTACTCTCTCTTAGCCTACGGGAGCCTCCCTTCTTCGCTCTCTCTATCCCCCCTTCCCATTTCTCTTTCCCTCTCCTCCCCCCTCTCCTTCTCTCCCTCCCTCTCTCTTCCTCTCCCTCCTCTCTCTTCCCTCTCCCTCCCCTCTCCATCTTCCCTCTCCCTCCCCTCTCCCCTCTCCCTCTCTCTTCCCTCTCCCTCCCCTCTCTCCCTCTCCTCTCTCTCTTCCCTCTCCCTCCCCTCTCTCTTCCCTCTCCCTCCTCTCTCCCTCTCCCTCTTCCCCCTCTCCCTCCCCTCTCTTCCTTCTCCCTCCCCTCTCCCCTCTCTTCCCTCTTTAAATCTAAATCGTTGCACAGTCTCCCATCCCCCGATTCCTAACTCTACTCCCTCCGCCAGTCGATGGAGGCCTCCCGCCTGGCCAGCGTGGGCGAGCGCCTGACCCGCCTGGAGGAGGCGAGCCGCAAGAGAGAGGAGACCAACGCCGCCTTCATCGCCGCCACCCAGACCGCCCTCGAGGACAAGCTTGACACCACCTCCAGCAACCGCGAGGCCTACCTCAACGGCCTCCGCGCCAAGATCTCGGACCACGTGAGTTTCGAGCAGGACTGTTTTTTTTTTGTTGTTGTTGTTGCTTTATTTTATATTTATTTGTGAGTTCGGTGTTTATATGGTGTGTTGTGCGTGTAAATATTTGTGGAGGGAGGGAGGGACTTTGAGGGACTTTTGTTTAATGGTGAAATTCCTATCCAGACAAGTTACACGTCCAGAAACTAATTCCCCAAAGCAAAATGGCATTAGCAATTATGACCACATCCCCTCCTCTGGTAGTAATGATAGCCGCATCCCCATCTTGTAATTAATTATCCCAATGTTGGTAATCATGTTACCCTCTTCCAACTAGATAGCCGTATCATCATCCTGACAGTAATTATAAGCACGTTACTCATGCGGCAAGACAACCATGTTCTTTTATATAAAAATAATGTTGATTATAACCTCCCTTCCCTCTTGACGTCCGTAACCGCAACCCGTTTCCGCCCGCAGCTGAACAACGTGGAGAGCGTGCGCAAACAGCTGGACGCCCAGACAGACGAGCTGCGCCAGACCATCGAGGACAAGCTCCGCTCCGCCGAGGAGAACAGGAACGAGAACATGGGCAAGATGCTCGAGAAGCTGAAGGACCACGTGAGTATCAGGCCGGGCTGGAAGAATTACTTGAGCAGGGAACATTAATTTGTTGTCTTGTTGTTTTAATCGGGACGGTCACGGCACGGCGGAAATCATCCAAACTTTTAATTGATCTTGTAATTGGATTTCCCGAGGCCCGGTCTGAGATTCGTCTCCCAATTACAACGTCCTCTCGCCCCTGCAGGAGGAGTACGCCCAGAAGGTGCGCCTGGGGCACGAGGAGGCCATCCGGCAGCTAGAGGAGCGAATTCAGGCCAAGCTCGAGATCGCAGAGGCCAACCGCGAAACAGAGATCATGAAGAAGCTCGAAACTCTCCGGGAACACGTATGTATTGAGGCTTCGTGAAGCTTGTGTGTATTGTTTTGTTTCCTAAAAGGTTAGGGTATTTTTTTAATAAGGCAAGCATTTTTTCTTATGATATAGATTTTTTTCTTAATCTTACTCGTTTTTTTATATTGCATCTGCATTCCATAACTCCTGTTTTTATTTAGTTTACTTAAACTTTTGTGTTTTAGATTTTATTATTCTTTCTTTTTCACACCTATGTTGTTAGGAGAGCCCCAGACGTTTTCATTTTCCCCCGTTTTGTTTCTTGCCCCACTAAACCCAGTCCAATAAAATCAATGAGGCCCAAGAGCTGGTTAACAAGAAGGCCGAGGAGGTGCTGAAGCAGCGCGAGCAGGAAGTGGCGGCCAAGGAGGAGCGCCTGCGGAAGATCTCGCAGGAGAAGGAGGCCAAGAGGCAGGAGCACACCAAGACGGTGAGCGAGAAGATCGAGCAGGCGCACGAGAACAAGGCCAAGGAGGAGGAGGAGCTCAAGAAGAAGACGGCGGAGAAGCTGGAGCAGAAGCTGGAGATCGCCGAACAGAACCGGCTGGAGATGGCGGAGAAGGCGAAGAAGGCCAAGGAGGAACAAGTGAGTGTGCCAAAGCGGGCCGGAGGGCGCTCGTTGGCTGCATCGGCTGCCTGCCACGGGCGAGGTCGAGGGGCTTCAGCGGCGGATGGCTTCGTATCTTTTCCTTTCCTCTCCTTTTCATCAGTTCTGATTCGGATTTTTATTAGTTTTGGTTTGGTTTTAGTTTGTCGTTTTGAGTCTGCATACAGATTTATTTTCATGTTTTAAACAGGAACCCTAAATCACACAGATTTTTTACCTCTCGAGATTTTTTAAAAATGTACCGTCTCCATTTTACTTGTGACCCTTTTAAACTGGCTGTCTTTTGTTGTCCTTTTTAAACATCCTTTCCTATTTTCGGCTGCTGCAAACTTTTACTCCTTTTTATTTTCTTCCGTTGAACCAGGCCAAAAGTTCCGCCTTGTTAGCGCCGTAACCGAAGATGCCATAGACTGACTCCTACCAATTTCTCTTGCAGGATCGCCGAGCCGAGCTAGTCCGTGCTAACAAGGAGCGTCTCATGGCCGCCGAGAAGCACGAGACCGCCTCATCCGGTTAATTTGCTAATTAACCTTGCCAACCCTCTCACCCACCCACCCATTCGGCCCCAGAGAGATCCCACTAGGCTCACCCACTGATTTACATTATTCACCCAGATTCTACAAGCAACAGAACCTGTCATAACTAGTGGGGGCCAAACCTTGCCTGGAAGAAGAGCCCGGAAGGGTTTCTTTGTAAGAGTCAGGAGAAAAGAACGCTGGCTATACTGTTAATCTGTCCCCGCCCATCCAATCACAATCCTAGTGTTGCCCATTTTTAGTAGAAATTAGGACAGTGGGTTATCGGGAAACGAGGCACAGACCCCGCTCGCGCTGGGGGCGGGCGTGCGGGCCGGACGCGTGCACCCGTCGCAGCGCCCCGCTCCCCCCTCAGACGCGGGCGGCGGTCGGTGCTGTCTCCCGGTGTCCCACTCATTCGATGTTCCCCTTGAAGCTAATCGCCCCATATCTAATTTGCCTTCTGGTGGAGATTCCTAATGAATCTGCTGTAATGCCACATGCGATGATGTTAGCTTGTAAATGATGCATATGCTCAGCTTTGAACATTAATGTCTCGATATTTACTGCTGGGTTACGAGTGATAGGTAATATTAAGGTTAATATTATAGATGATAATGCCTCTTACTGCCAGTTTTATAATTTTGGACGTGCCTGTCACCTTTGTCTTTCTGATCCTGTATGATTGTTGACAGCGCACTGACCAACAGGAGTAGGCATTAACGATGTAGAGAACATAGATTATCAAGTGATTAATATACTCATACATAAGTGTGTGCAGGGTACTGGATGAGTGGGTGAATCTTGGTGACCGGAGGACTTGGTTGAAGTTAAGCCCTATTAAACAATGCAGTAGTTGTCCTTTAAAAACAACCTGGCCCCCTTGTTTGTTTCTGTCTCGGTAACTCTTTAAAAGTCCCTTCATCCCAGTAAGGATATTTTCTTCTTCCTAAAACCTGTCCACACTGCCTTCTGCTATATATACATATATCTATATTTCATTTTATTTTTTGTGGCAATCACATCCTTGGCGCTCCTGCAATAGTTATTAATTGTAATATCAGTGTCCCTGACTTCCCAACTGTTTCCAATATCCAGTGATATTCTCAATTTAACATTTAATATTAAGAGTCTTGTGATCTGTCTTTAGTTTTTAAGGATTTTTCTAGCCTAGATTAAAACTGGAAATGCTGTATTCTAAGACTGCCTTCTATCATTACGAATACAGGTTTCAGTTTTCATCTTTGTACATTATGTAAAAAAAAAGGCAATTTTAGTTAGTTCCAAGTGAGTGAATCAAATTTGAATGCTTTTGCAAACCTTTCAGACTTTTATTTGGATAGAATCTTAAGGAATGTATGTAGTGTAAAGGTGGCGCTCCAGATCCAGCACCGACTGTAATGCTTACCAAAGTACTGGTGTCCAAACAACTGAATCCCAGCAATGGTTTGATAAAAAAAACTAAATTTCCAAGGTTCATGGTTGAAATGTGGATATGATTTTCTGTATGGTTTTATAATTTTCTTTTCGTGTTCCTAAGATTGAATGCCTGATCTGGTTACTGCAATCCTTTTATTTAATTCCCTTAATTTATATTCGACATTAATTGGCTTCTCAAAGAAGTTCTAGTGACCAGATACGGATGTTCAATACATTCCATAAAAATTGTAAGATTGTATACAGTTGGCTGGGGTCCATTAAACTTTGTCAACACTACAATTTATTCATCTTTTTGTCCCAACACCTTTTTGAAGAAGAGAGAAGGATGAGGAGCAGGATCTTCTTGTAAGGATACCTGCACGAGACCTAATAGCACACCAGAGTTGAAATGGAAAAGTGATAAATTGCACCTTGATATCTAAGAGATTAACACAGCGTCATCTTGAGTATGATTTGGATATTTTGATTGAAGTGAGCAGCTTGCAGTGGAAAAAACAGCAACTTTAAAAATGTATGATTTATGATAAGAATTTAAGGTTCTTTTTCACCTTTTATTTTAAAAGGCAGTGCCTCCTCCTAAGTTAAAGTGGGTCCATTGGCCCAGTTAGATATAGAGGGATTTGTAGACATTATCCAGACAGGACCAGTAGGAAGTCATCCACGAGACATTTTCACGTCCTTAACTTTATATACATATATAAACAAACGGAGACAAATCGTTTTAATTTCCAAGTGCACACACTTAACTCCATAACATTAAAAAAGAAGTCTTGTATTTTGCTTTACGATTATTTTAATGTTTCTAGTCGTGCTTACGGAATCTTTCCTTTCAGCTCTCCTCGTAGCAAAGCATAAAAAAGGCACTTGTAAAATGTGGAACAGTTCTTGAGGATGAAGGCTATAATTTTTGTATTTTTGACATTTGCCTCATTTCAATAAAGTGCCATTTAATTTTGCTGTAACCTTAATTGAATGTCTATTTTTGCATACCAACGTTTGTATCTGTGTTTGTGCATTTGCGGTACATTCCACATTATAGTGCTTAATAAATGGTAGTCCAAATTAATGTGTTGTTTCTGTGATCCACATTTTGACTGATGATCGATTTTGTGGGACTTGATTGGCTGATATTAACGGAAAGTATAGGTGTTCATACATGACGGAATATTCATGTGTTGCCATATGCAAATAAAGATGCACCAGATTTCAGGCTGCTAAGGCTTTCTGTGCTCTTAGAACAAAGAGTGAAAATGTCTAAATAAAGAGATAACCATATTAAAGCCCAAGCGTCTAAAATAATGGTTTGATAACATTCCTTTCCTGTAAAAAATGAATACAGTCACTTACGATCGAATTAACAATTAACAATTTCGGGCTCGTAAGTAGTAAACAGGTGTGTCTACCCAACACACTTCTGAACTAAATGCTCAAGATTGCTTTTTTGCAATTGTCAAAAATCAAACCAATCAGATTTAAAGTCGTAGCAATCGGCATTGCGTGAGTAAAATAACAATAGACTTAAGAATAATTTTTTTAAAAATGACTACGCCATACAGATTCTAAATCGTGACCTCCCTTATGTAGGGAATCGCCCCTATCTTGGACCTCTGCCCTCGCCTCGACTAATTTTACATGGGCTTTTCTTTCATTTTCATTTTAATTCCCTTCTGGCCACATCCTAAAATGTGAGAGCCGTGCTGAAGGGGTGAAAGGCTGGCTTTGTGTCAGTCCTGAACGGCCTTCGTACTCCGTTTGCTATTTCCTCTTTACCCTTTTCACCACCATACTTACCTACAACCTTTGACATCCAACATATTTTGTCCTTTCCAATCTTTTCTTCACAATACTGTGCTGTATGACCAATAATGTTTCGCACATCTATTTCATCCTATCACTATATTGTGAATACACCGCTAATGACCTTGGGTGTTGACACGGCAGAAAATTTTCAGTAAATAAAAATACATTTTAAATGAGGATTATCAAGATAGACATGAATAAAACAATAAAATGACAATAAAAATAAAAGTAAACAAAAGAATATCAGTTATAAATCCAAAACAAAGGGTTTTTCCAACAGTGGCCGAGCGCACACCCTACTAGATACTACATACAAAAAATAAAGACTACAATGATACAACCTTTACACGTTTAAGAGTAACCACTATGTAAATAAAGGGTACGTAAGTTGAGAAGAATTCGATGGCTTAAATTCCCAAGTTCATTATGAATAAGTAAGTCGCATAATACTCTATTCTTTCATTATTTGTTGCCTTTTGAAATTGCTCATTCTATACTCTAAAAAGTTGTCTACTATAGTTCATTCCAAAAGTGGGGCCACCAATCAGGTAATGACGTAATTAATTGTATTCCTCTGGCTCGTGGCCGTGAGATGTGCATTGCGTGAGAGTGAATGGTCGATTTTAATATGAAGTTATTACCTTCAGTATCTACTAAACACTGCAATTGTTATATCTTTTTTTTTTATTAAATGTCAATTTTAAAAAGGTTGACCTATGATTTTGTGTGCATATGTACCAGTTACACTGAATAATTTTGTTAGGACATCATGCTAAACATTCTGATACAAACGACACTTTTTGAAATATGATTGTTAATGCTACAAGACTGTTTGTATCTTTGATTTTCCTACTACTTTTGGGTATGTGTGGCTTATTTAAATAGTGCAAGGCGTATTCCATCCCATGTGGGAATAAAATCATCTCACAATGAATCCATATGAATTCCGGGACGACTATACGCGACACACACACACACACACACACACACACCACACACACACACACACACACACACACACACACACACACACACACACACACACACACACACACACACACACACACACACACACCACACACCACACACACACACACACACACACACACACACACACACACACACACATTATATATATATAATATATATATATATATATATATATATATATATATATATATATACTGGGATAACGTGCCAAAGAACAGATGCAGTAACTCGCAGAAGTACATTACCCGGTGCAGTCAAGAGTGCATAAGGAGCTTGATTTTTGTCATACAACAACAGTATCATTGTAAACTATGAATAGTCTGCAAGTTTTCAAGTTCCGATAAAGGAATTGTGGTTGTCCAGCCACATCAGTAAAATCACTTCCAAAAGCAATCAGATAATTGGATACAAGGTAAATTTGAACTCGAGGATATAGAGAGTATGCAAAAACATATACGGTTTGATGTATGAAAAAACAAACGAAGTTACAGTTGGTACCGAAAAATCTTGCTCCTAATACTACGTACTGGCAACCTGTGTTCTTGCAAGATTTACCCCATGATAATGATAACGAGAGAGAGATAGAGACAGTGAGTTTGAGTGGGATGGAGAGGGAGACAGACAGACAGAAGAGACAGAAAAGGGGGAGAGAAGAGACAATCAATTTGAATTGCTTCACTTATCAAAAAGCCGAGTTAAAATTCTTAAACAAAGAGGTACATATCTGAGATGTACCCAGTTCTTAACGACTTACCCTGATACTAGTATACATACATTTATTATTAAAAGGGCACAGTTTAGAATAAGAAATAGTTCACAAATAAATAACTGATTATGAAATACAGCACAGTTTGAACTTAAGTAATGCTATAAAAATGATTAAAGTAATAAGGTTGAGTATGAGTACAATACCAGTGGTTTATTTACCTCTTCTTTGTAACAAGATCAGAATTATCAACCAAATATTGATGAAATAAGCAGGTTTTTACACAGGTATATTATTGCCAAAAAATTAATATGTATAACATCATCATTCTTGAGCAAAAGGTATAACTGTGGCAATCAGTGGCTTCATGTTTAAGGCAAATGGCAGTGATTACCTTTCAACTCTGATACCATAGGGCACTATGTTTTATGCAATGAAACTCTCCTGCAAGACGATCCATGAAGTCAGTCAAGAAAAATAAAACAGTGCGAAAGATTGCATTGACTGAATGCATCACTTTAAGCATAAAGAAGGTATAAATGAGAACGATTGATTTGAAAAGTATCCATGTTGACAAATGTAGAAAAGGTATGAATGAGACTGGATATCTTCACAATACAAGAGATGTATTTGACCGGTTTCGATTACGTCTTCATCAGAAATACATACATAAGAGAAAATACATAGCATATATATACTACATGGGAGTTGGTAAATCACCTGACGACTGTGACCTCGCACTCGTTACGCGCATAATTGCAGCTGCGACCTTGGATACTTTAAACCTGCCTGATGCGGTGTTCATATTATCGTAATCGAAACCGGTCAAATACATCTCTTGTATTGTGAAGATATCCAGTCTCACTCATACCTTTTCTACAACGATTGATTTTACAAAGTATGAAACAAAATCAGTAAATTTCAATTAAATGTTGTTCATAATTACTTTTGCTTAAATTAAATAAATAAATTAAAAATATATCTAAAATAAAAATTAAATAAATTAAAATAAATAAATTAAAACATGTCAGTTACACCTCTTGCTTTGTGAAGTTATACGTCCTTAATTCATGCCTTTTATACATCTAATAAAATAGCAGACATAAATTTCTGAAAGGAAACCTCTTTTCCATGGACCACTAAGATGTGGGAAATATGAAGATGGATATATTTACTTTTGATCTTGGATTTTTAAAAAATCATACATTCTGTTTTTATTGATTTTTTGTTGGTGGATATTGAGTATCATCTTTAATACACTACAAATGCTGTAACTGCATTTTTTAAGAATGGTAGAATTAAATAAATTGACTACATGAATATACTTTAAACATATTATGAGTAAAATTAACATGTGTGAATAGAAAAGTAAAATTCAAGTGGTGCTTCAGCTAAAATCTTCTCAGGAAACAAAATCTGAATGAAATCTTAGAGTGCGAAGAAAAAAGTAAGAATCGCCTTTTGTAAAAATGGAGCGACAAATCGCCTTTCTTTTGAATATTTTTAGAAATTTGAGGGTTTCCTGATTAAGGTCTAACCCCGCCCCCTAAAACTATTTTCCATAATATAATTATTTGGTGGGGAACAAACAAATCAATTTGCACACTATTTTAGACAGCAAATATTCAGTGAAAGCATCAAAGGTATGTGCAGAAAACTATGACAGCTTTTTTATTTACTTTAGTCTTCCCACAAAAAATATATGTTACAAAAAATACATTTACAACAACGTATATATTGGTGGCGACGAAAAGCCCGCCAAAACACTGTTGCCTGATTGGCTGGCCGCAAGGAGGAACGAGATTCCGGCGCCGTGATTGGCTCCCGGAGAGGGTGGCTGACTGGCGGGCAGTGCGAGAGGTTATCTGAAGGAGCGAGCAGGTTCTGTGACTGTAACTGCGACCTCGATTGCGCTGGCACTCTCTGTAAGAGAAGAAATATGGAATAAATAAGGTGATAAAACTGTGCGCGTACGTGGGGCGACCGACGCCTTTCCCGGCGAGAGGGAATATTGTTCCTGCAAATAAACTTTGTGGACCGCCAATAAACTGTGGATTGTTACCTACCTGTCCTGTCATCCCCGCGAACGCCACTCGGTGCCCTGCGTGCGTGAACGCTCGCCAGAGGCTGCTCTCCGGACCCAGTAGGACAGGCAGGAAAGGAGTGCAGCGTCCTGACACACAGGGTGAGTTGTGTGAGGCACTTGTGGACCTGTCTGTGTGCGCGATCTGCCTACCTGGGAAGAGCGCCAGAAGTGACGCCCAAAGGGCGTCAAAGGGACAACATAAAAATTGGGGAATGACGCTTTTAAACTGCTTAGCACTTTTATGTGCATCGTTACAGCCTTTTGCGTTTTATTAGATTTTATATTTTATTTCTGATTGGCTAATTTATTCCCAGTCAATAAAACTCATTTGAGAAATAAAAAACAATATATTTTCCTTTTTTTTTAAACTAAATCAGATAATCACAAAAACTACATTCTCTCCTTTCTAATGCTGTTTGTTGCATGTTAATAATATAACTGCTTTTCGAGTTATAAAAACATCTCCCTCATAAGCAGAACTAAC